CCTCCGGACTTCCTCCCCCTGAAAACACTGACCGCCTATGCTCAGCTGAACATGCCAGGCTCACGCCTAGCCAGCCAAGCCCAGCAGCTCCTCTCCCAGCTGGAGCACCCAGAGCCCACGGCGCCAGACTCAGAGGGTGAGGAGGACAAGGGTGGGCGCATGGGGGGCACGTCTGCAGGGCATGGGCTGGGCTGCAGAGGGACCAACCCAAAAGGCTGGTGTGGGGCCCAAGCTGGAGAAACCTTAGACACCCCCAGCCCCCGCTACCCCCCAGACCTGGTGGGCTGCATTCTGGGGAAACATCCAGGAGAGAAGTGGTCGGGGCTGGGCTGCTTCACGGCAGTGAGTCACCAGGAAAGGCCCTTCTGTGAGTGGACTCTTCTTGCTTCCCCCGCACAAACACCTCCTCGGGACCCATTTCCATACTCCCCTGGAGATCTCTGCACAACTCACTCCTGATCCACACACTCAGACACGTGTCAACCAGCACATCCGGAATCCACTTCTGATCCCTAACGTCCCTCAGCTCAGGATGAGGCCCCTGCTCCCACATTGGTCTTACCTTCAGGACCCTCTCCAAATCCACCTCCATCCTCCCCTCCAGAACCCCCTCTGGAGGCAGCCCCCGCCTCGTAGTTCCTCCCACAGTAGGAGGAGCACAGCCCGGTAGTTCCCTGCCCCTCATGGGGGAGGGAATCTCTGAAACCCTGGTCATTTCTCTCTTGTGCAGCATTTACTTTGTTATGTACATAATCTTGAATGGTAGGTTTAACACGGCATAAGGTCTCATCTTCCAAGTTCCACTGAACCTGGACGCTTCCTCTGCTCGCCTCCTGCCTCATGGGGCCCTTTGTCCTCACTGTTGGAGGTTCATCTCAGGTGGCCTATGTGTCAGGGCGACTCCTCTTTAGGGCTGAAGATGATCCCCTGGGAAGGATGGACCCCATCTGGGTATCTGTGGCTTTGTGTGTGACGCCTGGGTGGGTGCCACTCTGTGGGTAGAGATGGATGGAAGGGTAGGAGACGTCCCAGGTGTGTTGAGTGCAGGTTAGGTGAGATGGAGTGGCACCTGAGTCAGGGGAGAGGAGGACAGGGAGAGGCCCAGAGACCCCCGGGGGGGTGGGGGGGGGGGGTGGGATCAAAGCAGACAGCAGGGGTCGGGAGGCCACACTTGGTGACTGAGGAGGTGGGCGGAGTAAGTGAGTGAGTTGTAGACGGAGGGGACCATGAGAGTGGCCACACGCCTCACCAGGGCTGAGTAAGGATGAGTTGAGTGAAGAGAATGTGGGGACGGAGGAGGCCAGACCGCAGTAAGGCCCAGGTGTGGGAGGGGCTAGAGGGGGCCGTGAATACACAGGTGGGGACCAAGGGGAGGAGCCAAAGGCCAGGAGGTCGCCCAGGTGAGAAGAGTGGGGCAGTAGGTGGGGGTCAAAGCAGCAAAGCAAGCTGCCTGCCCTTGGGTGGGGGAGGGGTCTGATTCATGTGACAGGTCCCAGGGCTGCTCGTGGGGCTCCTCTTGTATCTAGAAACTTGGCCACAAGAATGCCCAGGAGGCTGCCTGAAGACCTGGTGGCCCCCTAGTTATTCGTTGTGCTGCTAATCACAAGGTCAGCAGTTCAAAACCACCAGCTGCTTTGCAGGAGAAAGGTGATCCTACCCCTGTGGAAAAAAGGCTTATTAACAACCAGAGCTCTGCGGAGGCACCACCTTGCCTGCTGGAGGCAGGAGGACTTGAAGCCTTGCTATGAAGTGTGGAGCTTGCAGCTTTCGGTGTGCATTACAACTCAATGCAAAGAGGACCAACAGCCTCGCCGCTGGACCAACAGGAAACATCGTGATTGATGGAGAGAATGTCGAAGGGATCAAGGATTTTGTCTTGCCTGGAGCCAGTCAACGCCCGTGGAAGCAGCAGTCAAGAGATGGAAAGCTGTGTTGCCTTGGGTAAATCTGCTGCAGAAGACCTCTTTAGGGTACTGAAGAGCAAGAAAGATGTTAAAGAGGTCTCCTGCAGATGTACCCAATGAAACCAGGCTGTCCATCATTTGCCTGCTCTTTCCTTGAGCACCAATTGTGGATCCGGACAAGAAAAACCCTTGACAATTTCAACCTTTCCTCCACTTAGCATGATGTTACCTTTCGGACCAGTTGTGAGGGTTCTGGTCTTTCTGTTTTACAAAAAAATGTTTCTGACGGTGGACCCAATCAGGTTTCAAATTGCCGTTCCTCTGTGGGACTGCCAGGTGGCGACAGACACCAACCTCTGGGTCAACGGCCAATCACAAACCACCTGCACCACCCAGAGACCCTGGATCAAGGGCGCTGTCTCCAGCTGAATGTGTATGCTTTCTCGGCCAGTGTCTGGCAGGACGGCCAGCAGGCTCCTCGGAGCGCGTGGCAGCCGTGTTCTGCACGCCTCAGGAGGCTCCAGAGACTGGAAGCAGAGGGACGTGGCACAGGACGCCCTCCACGAGCTGGGTCACCGTAGCGGCTGCACCCAAGGGCTCCGACAAGGCCCCGGCTGGGAGGACGCCTCAGGATTGGACCAAGCTCTATGCTTCCGGACAGACCCACCGCGCAGCAGCAGACTGACCTCCTCCACAGTCCTTGTGCTCAGGCGTCAGCATCAACGCGATGGGCTCGAACATCAGGAGGAAGGAGAGGACTCTGCTTTTCGTGGCCATGAGGAGAAAGACGGTCCTTTCAAGCCAACGGTCCTTCCACGTGCAAGCAGGAGCACATCCCGGGTTTCAAGATCAGCTTGCATGGTCTTTCTGAGTATGACCAGAGTTGTTAGGGTTGATAATTTTTTTTTTAAAGGGCTTGAATGTGGGCTTCTGGGGCGGTGCACGGGCAATCTGTACTCATAACTCCGCTTAGTGGACCTCCTCAAAGCTGTGTCCTGCTCCCTACATCAACAAACCCTGTGGGTGAGCTGGCTGGTTCCTTGCACCCGGCTAGTTCAGCCTCCAGTTCTTTGACACGAGGCAGTGGCCCGCCATTAGTGTGCAGGGATTCTGAGAGGGCTCAGTGGTCTGCAACCCGTGTGACTCACCAGCCTGGGACCCCTCCCCTCTGCCGGCACAGCCTGCTGGCTGGGGCCGTTCCTGGGCTCATCTCTCCCTGGCCGTGCAGGTCAGGAGAAGCCTCCAGGCTAGCTTGGGAACCACGGACTTGGAGCTTAACTCCTCCCAGTGCGCCACGAGCTCCCTCGAGAGCCATGCCCTCTCACCTCACTGATAGCTAAGGTAAGGTGACCAGATGTCTCGCTTTTCGGCATTTTTAAAAAGTCCTGATTTTTGGAAAGAATGCACGACAAGATAGGGAACGGTCTATTTGGTCCATATAGACCAAATTTTTAAATCAAGAACCTCTCCCCACCCCCCACCTCCACTGGTCAATGGTGTCCTGCTTTAAATCTGGTCACCTTAAGCTAAGGGTCGGTGCCTTTGCTTCTCTGGAGAAGCCAGCCTTTCCGCCCGTGAGCTGACAGTGCGAGGTGCATCAGCAATGGGTGTGTCATTGATTGAAATGGGTAAAGGACGGTTCTCACTGGAAAACACCAGTGGTCATCACCTGCCTGTCTGAGCCCAATTCCCTGAGAAACCTTAGACAGCTGTGCTTGGGGCAAAGAAATAAAACCCCAAATGGAATATTGTATTTCCAGCCTCCTTTCTCCGTGGGCAATATCATCAGGTCTCACACTATCAAAGGGCATCGAGATCCTGAAACAAGACGTCATTCCTATGCACACAATTGAATAATAGTTTGTACCCTACTAAGTCCCCGTGGACTAGTCATCCCAGAAGACCCCTGGGCCTTCCCTGCTACTCATCAGACCACTCAGCTGCACTGGTCAGCTCTCCCTGGTGACAGTGAACCTGGCCAAGAGAGAGCGATGACCCCGTGGTTCTTCAGTGCAAAGCTTCCAAAATAGATCCACACAACCACAACCATCATCCGACTACAAACCACCGACGTCAACACCGAGAGCAACGTGGAAGTCTGTGGGCTCTTTCCCGAGCACCACATTGGCTTTTTCCTCAGTTTCCTATGGTGGCCGATCAGACCTCTTTGTCACGGCTTCTTGTCCTGAAGTAAGACCACTTGTTTTTTAACAGACGATGAGCCCGAGGGCGGGGGCGCCAAGAGAACCCAGCAGTGGTTAATTGTCAAGGCTACAAAATCTACAGGAGGTCATTCGGACACAAGTCCTACCAAGAATGAAATAAAACAGACCAACAATAGGGTATTTCCAGTGTAGCATATTGTCTGTCCCCCCCTCCCGGTCAGAGTGGTGTCTCTCAGGTTGTCCTCTCACGGACTTCCCGGAGAGAATGGGAGGTGGGAGTGCCTCATGGATAGACGACGGTCAAGGGAGTGCCGAAGTCAGCTTCTCTGGGCTCCTCCGGACAGAAGAAGGCGCACAGAGGCTCCTTGCCTCTGTGGATGTCCTCCTCGTGGTGGATGAGGGTCTTACGGACGGCATCAAAAAAGAGGACTCTTTCCTTGTTCACATGCAGGAAGATGCCAACGCGGTGAAGGCCGGGCCAGGCAGGGATTTCGTGGTCTGGGGAGGAGCTGCTGTAGATGCCCCCTGACCTCATGCTGATGACCCAGAACCCAGCACTATCGGAAGTGCTGGTCTCATCTCTGTCCACAGACTCCAGACAGACACCCAGAGACCACTGCCTGCTCTCTCCCACCTCCACCTCCCAGTAGTGGGGGCCGTAAAGGAAGGGAGGGGCGCTGAGGACGCAGGGCATCTCGGTGAACCTTCCGGGGTCTCCTGCGGGGTGGTTGAAGACCTTCCCACAGCGGACGCTCATGAGGTCATGGGAGACGACAAGGAGGGAGTGGGAAGTGGCTGCATCCAGGGTCACGCCCTCTCGGAACCTCAGGGGTTCCTCAAAGGCGAAAGGTCCTTCCTCCAGGAAAGGCCCCTGGGGCAGGCCAGGCGCATCCACTGCCATCATTTGTGGGCCGTGGAAAGGGTTCGTCTGGCTGATTGCTCTGCACACAGGGCAGACCCACACCAGTTCCCCGCTTAGGGACAGGGAAGTCTGAATGCAGCGCTGGCAGAAAGAGTGTGTGCAGGGCAGAAGGTACGTGTTGGCGAAGAAGTCCAGGCACCTTGGGCAGGTGACCTCTGGCTGCAGGTTCATGGCCATCGCTCTTGGAGGTCAGCAGCCCACAGGGAACGCGGATCACCCCGTGCCTGAAATCACCTGGAATAAGACCTCTGGTGAGCTTGGAGCGGACAGGTGACGGGAGTTAGCGAGAAGTCCCACAAAGGAAATGTTCCTTGGCAGCTGGCCTGATCTGGACATCCGGGTGAGAGTCAGAGAGGAGCGGCAGGCAGGCTGGATCCGCACAAGGAGTCACGGTCTCCCTTTGCAGTCACCTGCAGGTCGAGAATCAGGGGTGTCCACGTCTGAAGCTGTCAATCCCACGCCGCTCCTACTTAAAAGTGCCTCTAAGAGACCCACAGACTGAAAAAAAAAAGACCACCTGAGAAGAACTAGCAAAACCCACAGCAAGACCAATGGGCTAGCCCATAGCGAATCATAGGATTTCTCAAGATGAAATATCGTTCTGGTCAACCGCCTTAAAGGTTTGTTAGAGAGCCAGGCCAGGCTGGCGTTAGTATGGATTAAATATCACGGGCGTTCACGTCTTGAGGTGGTGTGTGTTTAACGTCATTGGCCTGAACGTCTCTAAACCGATGGGTGTGGCTGAGCCCACCCGAAGCCTAAACGGTGACCCACGGACAGGGGTCCTGCAGGATGTTCATGCCAGCTGCTTCTGGAGCTGCTGTGGACTCCCTGGGGGGCCGCCTGACTTGGGGGGTCGTCTGACTTGGGGCACCGCAAGCCTGACAGGCTGGACACTGCTGTTTGACCCGGGGCAGCTCGAGATCCAGAGACCTTCCCGTAAGTCTGGTCAGGAATCACGAGTGGAGTGAATCAGACTTTTTCTTTTGTCCTACAGAAAGAAAAAAAAGAATAGCCCCTATCAACTAACTAAAGAAATACTAGAAAACCTTGTCTGTCAGTCTGTCCTGCGTGTGGCTGTGATGCTGGATGCCGCAATGCCAGCAGGGTCGCCCAAGGAGCAAGGTTTCAAGCAGAGCTCCCAGACTAAGGAGAGGCTGTGAAGAGGGAATGCAGAAGGGAGCCGCTGAGAGCCTTGTGCACAGCATGAGGCATTGCCAGAGTCGGGAGGTCTAAGGATGTGGAGGCCGAGCGCTGCCAGAGAGTGCCAGAGATGGGCCCCGGGGTCCCAGGACACTGGGGAGGTGACGGAGGAGGAGCCACCGCCTCCGGGTGGAGTAGACCTGACCAGCAGTGGAGGCTTCGAGGTGTTCACCTGCTGCTGGGGCACAACGCGGGGTAAGAAGAAATGGCTGCCAAACGTGCTAATGATGAGAACTTGGGCCATGTGACAGATGAGTCCATTGGATGTGGTTAAAATGCAACGGAAACCCTAAAGACCAACGGCCTAGGCACCGCGAGCTGACATGGCCTGGTACTGGCCACTTGGAGTCATACAACCACCTGATTGACTACGCCGGAAAGACCCCACGTAGAGGCCATTTCATGGACTGCCTCGAAGCACTGTGCTGTCTGTGACTGCACCCCCTGACGGCGATGGCTATCATCCTATCAGTGCAACGCTTCATCAAGTGCATGCTCCTGCCACAGAAGGTAGTGCGGAAGAAATGGCATTCCACCAACGGTGTCCATCTGAACCGGATTAAACAATCAACTCAGAGTCATTGGTAGTTCTTAGTGATTGGAATACCGAAGTTGGAAGCAAAAAGGAAGAACAGTGTTTGGAAAATAATGGATTTGGTGACAGAAAGCAGCTGGAGATTCAGGGATGGAACAACGGCTTCCATGCCAACACTTTTCCTTCCTGCAGCACGAGAGGGGGCTCTGCACACGGCTCCTCTGGACAGAAATCACAGTGGACACAATGGGGAAGCAGCTCACGCCAGGCCAGGGCCCACTGTGGAACAGACCGCCAGTGGCTCGCCTCAAGTTTGGGCTCACGGGAGCCTAGGCCATCAATCTCTCTGTGTCCGATTTTCTCAGCTTCATACTTCGTTCACTCCAAGTTTCGATCCTTCGCATATCATTCCAGCTGTTCCTTCTCGCCTTGAGTCGAGCCCCATCAGCAAACGAAGAACTGAGGGCCCCACGCCCACACACTCCCTTCATCTCACCTGGGTCGACTCCCCTCAGCCACACATTGAGGGCCCTCCACCCCGGGGCTCTGTCCTCCCACACTCTCTCAGGCAAGCTTTCTTCCACTCATCGGGCCTTCAGTCAGATTCTCAGCGGCTCCTTCCTCCGGAGTGGGCAGCCAACTCCTGTCTTGTCCGTTTCCCACCTGGGGGCTCCACCTAAGCCTGTTCACTGTGGGCGACCCTGCTGGCACTTAGAATACCAGCAATGAAGCTCCCAGCTCCCAGCAACGACCAACAGGCAGAGGACAGGAGTAGCAAGCCTCATCTTCTGGGTCGTTAGCTACCCGAGCCATAGCCCGGGCCACCAGTTTGTGTTCAAATGCAAACACCTGAGGGGTAGTACGTCTAGAGGGGGGTGGGGTGGTGAAGAAAGCTCCCTGACCTAGGACAAGAGGGGCTCTCTTCGACCTTTGGGAGATAAAACATGGCAAAGAGAGGTTGTCTTCAGAGACAGAATGGGACGGGAGCCCTCACTGCAGGGCCGTCTTACCTTGACATCGGAGCCCCAGCAAGTGCTGCAACGTCAGGTTGCCTTCCTCTGGAGTGACTTCCAGCGCTGATGCGGCAGCCTTTTCTAGTCTCTGGACCACAGACTCCGCCCTCCATCAGGCACCCAGGATCCAATCATTCAGACCCCGCCCTACCTCCCACTGCGAAGAGGTCAAGGAGTCCAGCGTCCCAGCTGCAAGGGCATGAAACCCTTTAAAGGGGCTCTTCTAGCCGGTCTGCCACTCCCACCCAAGTACCTTTCCCTGCGTGCGTCTGGGAAGAAGGAGGAGAGGCTGGGGGTGGGGAGACACTGATAGGATTCACCTGGGACTAACTGCCAACAGGAATCCCTGCAGTGCATCCTGCTGTGTCTAAAGGAGCCCTGTGAGATGCAGGAGGAGGGATCTCACTACCAGCAAGAGCCAGCAGGGGAGCACATCCTCTGGACCGAGACCCCTGCACAGTGGACCTCGTGCACCCAGATGAGAGCTGTGCCAGCCGAGGAGCGGCAGCAGAGCCAGGGGCCAGAGCATGGAGCAGAGTGAGGGACTTCCCAACACACAGAACAAGTTCCGTGTGGAGAGCAGGAGGCTGGCTGTGGAGCGGGGTGCCTCCGAGCACCTAATTGGAGAAGTTGGACTTGCTGATACCAGGAAGCGGCACTGAGCACCTCTGGGCTGAGGCTTACGGGAGTGGGTGGCTCTGGGGTTTCCTGACCCGATGGAGCTTGAGCCTCTTGGGCTATGACCATGCAAAGTTGAGTAGAAGCCTCTGTCTTCCCGGCTGTAGACGAGGGCGTGCGGACCCGGGGCTGGTCTGCTCTTCACAAGGAGAGGCTGTGAGTCCTTGTTGATCAACGTTGTCTTCAGCTTCCTAAGAAGTGGCTGCACAGCACGCCCCACATTCTGCTCTGGAAGCCGAGAACCACGGGGTGCTGCCCTGTGTGACAGCGGAGAAGTCCCGGGGGGTGGGGGGGGTGGTTGGTTCCTCAGCTGCCATCTGGCTAGAAGCAGGTTTCCTGTCTGTGTCCCAAGGACTCACTAGGTGGCTCCTCTGTCCAATCTTTGGTGTTTCCAATGACATGCTCCCATGAGGGCATCTTGATAAACACGCACCTAAGGGATACGCACCCTCAGTGTGGACTTTTCTAAGAACCCACTGTCATGCCGGGAACACAGCAGACAAGTCCCTGCCCTCCTGGGCCTGCAGTCTAGCCAAGCAGCCCGACAGGAGCAGTGGACAGGGACGTGGGCAGTGTCCACCCCGCATGGGATGTGATGCCCACCTGCCTCACAGCTCCTCCCACATTCATTCGGGATCCAAAGCTGGTGTGTTCACAGCCTGGAGTCTCCCTGCCCCTTATGGGAAAGGGAACCTCCTTGTAGTCTTGGTACGTTCTCTCTTGTCCAACACTTATTTATGTACGGAATTTTAAATTTAACACACAGTCCCATCTTCTAAGTTCTACTGAGCTCAGACGTGTCCTGCTCACCTGCCTCATGCAGCCCTTTGTCCTCACTGTTTGAGGTTCATACTAGGTGGTCAGGTGGCAGTGCAAGCTCCTTTCTAGGGCTGAAGATGATCCGCTGGAAGGATGGACAACATCTGGGTATCGTGGAGTTGTGTGTGACGTCTGGGTGGGTGCCACTCTGGGACTCCTGTGAGAGGTGCTGAGCGTGGTGAGCATGCATGCAAGTCTTTGTTGGCCTTACAATGAAGACCAGGTGTGGGTAGAAATGGGTGGAAGGGTAGGAGACGTCCCAGGTGTGTTGAGTGCAGGTTAGGTGAGATGGAGCAGCACCTGAGTCAGGGGAGAGGAGGACAGGGAGAGGCCCAGAGCCCCCCGGAGGTGGGATCAAAGCAGACAGCAGGGGTCAGGAGGCTGCACTTGGGTGGTGACTGAGGAGGTGGGCGGAGGGAACCATGAGAGTGGCCACACGCCCTCACCAGGGCTGGATAAGGATGAGTTGCGTGAAGGAGATGTGGGGACATAGGAGGCCAGACCACAGGAAGGCCCAGGTGTGGGAGGGGCCAGAGGGGGCCGTGAATACACAGGTGAGGATCAAGGGGAGAAGCTAAAGGCCAGGAGGTCGCCCAAGTGAGAAGAGTGGGGCAGTAGGTGGGGGCCAAAGCAGGCAGAGATGTAGACAGTCAGCACAGGGGAGGGTCATGTGGCTGCCCAGAGGTGGGGAAGGAGGGACTGGGCCCAATGCCTACCACAGAGCTCCTGCTCTATCCAAGCACACACCTGGACACAAGAAGACCCACCTGGAGGAGGAGCCATCTGGCCAGGGTAGTCAGAGCCGCTCTCAATAAAAACGTTTGCATTGGTGCAAAGATTTTAACAGCCTGTGTTCCAGAACCCCTTCTGAGCAACGCAAACAATTGCCGTCACCGCAGGCAGAGACTGACAAAAAAGACACACACACAAAACACCCCCACCACCCCCACCGTGGTGGATTCTGTTCCACCCTGGGAGGATGCTGCCAGGGTACCACCCCCTCCAGACCAGAGTGGTGCGTGCAGAACACAGGATCATGCTCCTGCCCCTGAGCAACTGCTCTCTCAGCAATCCTGAGGAGAGGTTGAGTGGGAATTTGGCCAGCAGGATGCGTGGGCCTCAGAGCGCTAGGCTAGGGTGGGCCCCAAGTAGCTCACTGCGTATTATCCTGATTGGAGAGATGGGAGTCTGCACTAGCTCCCTGCCTCTGACTGGACTTTTTCTTGGGGGGAGATTATGGCAGCATTTCCCTGGGTCATTAGGAGGTCTGACCACCTCCGAAGTGGGCATACAATCAAGAGGGCACATATTAGGCAGCAGTAGTGAGTGAGCGTTTCTCCTCAGGCCCGGGACCCAAAGTGCTAACCCCTGCCTGCCCACAAGCCCGTGCCCAGGGATTCAGCACTGCACACTGGCCCCTCAGGAGAGGGACTTGGTGAAAACGGTTCTAGTTAGTCCCTTCTCTCCCTCAGTGCACTAGTTTGATCAGTAACTGCCATGTATCACCTGGGGTCTTGGGAACCAGCTTCACACCAGGACCTGGATGGAGACCATATTTAATTGTCTGCTGACTTTGACCCTGTGTGCTAGGCTGGTGTGGAATTCCCTGGCCATGTTTGACTAACCAGGTTCCACAGCATGTGTGTTGGGATACCTCTATATTTGGAGCGAAACATTAAAAAAAATACCACATTCATTAATGATAAAACTATGTATCAGAAGAGCAGTTGGTCTCTGCACATTACAGAAATGGAATAAAGCAGCACAGCAGCTGTCTCCCCACCCCCACCCCCAACCCCCACAACAGACGTGGACTGGGAGGAGCTTCTGCAGGAGTGATGGTCTCCAGGTAATTTAACCAACGGCAGGAAACTTGGACTGAGAGAGAGAAGAAGCACAAGCCGTAATCCAAGAACCCAGGAGTGCCCAGTGGGAACATGCTGACAAAAATGAATGAAAAGTTAGAAATGACATAACAACTTCAAACACAGACAAGAGGCAAACAGCAAAACATCAGTACTGGACAACACTGTGAAAGAGCAAAACAGAAAGATAGAAACACTGAAGCAAGAATCAGAGCTCTGGAAGATGGATCTCTTGAGAAGGAAATACAAGAAGACCAGGCTATAAAAACCACCGTCAAACTGAAGATAGGAGGGGTACCTAAAAACAAAACAAAACAAAAACCAGGAACATTTTCTTCAAAACTATGTGTTAATTTTTTTGGTAACAAAACAACTGCATCACCTTCAAAGTACTCTCCATTACACCTAATACATTTGTCAAATCTGCAATTCCATTATTGGAAATATTTTTCAAACTCATCTATTTGGGTGGCTGACAGCACCTCCCTTGTTTTACTCTTCACCTCTTCTACTTTGTCAAATCACTGTCCTTTCATGTCCCTCTTCATTCATGGAAACAAATGATATATTCAAAATTCTGAAAAGAAATAAAAAAGACAACCAAGAATCCTTTATCCAGCAAAATTATTCTTCAAATAAGAGGGAGTAATGAAAACAAAGATAAGGAAAAATTAAACAAATAAGAGGGAGAAAATTTTTAAAATTAAACATATAAGGGGGAGAACTAAAAACACAGATAAGGAAAAATTAAAGGAACGTACAAAAACCACCTTTACAAAGAATATTAAAAGGAATTCTATGGAGAGAAAATCTATAAGAACAACAGATAGACACCAATTTTTAAAAAAAGAAATCACCCCAACTACCAGGACCCCAATTTTGCCTTGCAGACCTGGTTAGACCAGATGATGCACAGCGGTACAGATGGGAATTGGAAACGCAGGGAATCTAGGACAGAAGAACCTCTCAGGACCAGGGGTGACAGTGGCGATACCAGGAGGGAAAGGGGATGTAGTAAGGGGGAATAGATCACAGGGAGCTACATATAACCTCCTCTCTGGGGGACGGGCAGCAGAGGGGTGGGTGGGGGGAGACGCCGGACAGTGTAATATAAGATACAATAATAATTTATAAATTATTAAGGGTGCATGGGGGAGAGGGGAGGAGGAAGGGAAGGGGAGGGGGGGAAAAAAAAAAAGGAAAATTAGCGGATTCCGGGAACCCAAGAGGCAAGCGAATTTTGGGAATGATGAGGGCAACAAATGTATAGATGTGCTTTACACAATTGATCTATGTATTGTGATGAATTGTATGAGCCCCAATAAATTGATTAAAAAAAAAAAGAAATCACTATGAAAAAACGTTCTACTTAAGCAATGTTCAAAGTGAAATGGAACTAAGAAATCACCGAGAACACTCCACTACGAAGACAAAGACAAAGAAGCAAACAGGAGGAGAGGGACAGAGCAGACACAGCTCCTCGAGTGGAGAAGATATCAAGCAGCTCACAAAATATTTTGAAATTGGAAAGGAAACAAAAACAACCTATAAAGAAAAAAAATGGAGCTTCAAGAAAATAAACAGGATGAAAACCTTACAAAAAAGACAAGACACAAACAAGAAAAGCAAAGAGGGTGTCCAGAAGATAAGCAAGAAA